TTATTAGAATTCACAACCGGAGATCTGGCATCTCGCTACCCCAAGCTTGATCGTAAGTGTTACAGAGTTTCGTATCATCTGCCTTCGTTGCGTGAGCTGTCCTAACTACTCATTGAAAAATGGACAAGAGGAGGCGGGTTGGGATATACTCGAAGTGTTGTCACAGGACAACCCAGAGAAGACATCACAAACTGACCTTGTCATAGAATTAACTTCTCTCGGACTCAACCTCAATGGTGGGAATGCGTTCATTCCTCAAGAGACTCACCGCTCCTCATGAATTATCATTCTTGAAGAACTTTTCACTTGAGGGAGCACCTTCAGAGTCCATGCTACTCAAGAAAAGGACGACGCAAGGATCGCTAACTCATCCCATAGTCGACGAATTGATATCGTCGACTTGGGCGACGTCAAGTTCAATGTTACTTCAACGAAGTATGCTAACGCTCATTCACGTGTCAGACGACAGCACCAGGACAAAGCCTACCAGTGCTCCACGATTGAACTCTTTTTCCTCGTGTACATCCAGTGTGTGCTAGTAGAAGCTGTCGTACCTAGCTGATGATAGGATAATATTCAACAGGAAGAAACACCGCGAACAAAATTGCTCACCATCAATCCTATGTACAGTATACTCCCGAACAAACTCTCCTGTTTCTGAGTTATACAAGAATACGTGATCAGCGATCGTCTAACACGAACCCATGGCTTTGCTGTTGGTGTGTTGCTGGCCTAGTAAACCAAACGAATCAGTAGCAGCTTCAAGGAAGGTAAAACGTAAGCCTTGGTGTTCCAGTTCGGAATCGTCCTCCTCCGATCAGGAGGACGACATCGGTTTCCGGAACTGTGCGAGCGCTGTCGCATGCTGAAACGTTCGGAGGAGTTTTCCCGCTCAGACGAAGTTCTTTAGTTTACAGATGGTCATGGCACAGATACCTTAGTTACTAAGGTATCTGAATAAGGGTTGTATCAAAGAGGATGCTGGAATATTGTTGTCCCCCCTCTAACTGGTAATACTCACCTGATCAAATCGCTCACTTCATCATATCCCCATCCATGAGATTCGTCCTGCCAATGATGTGACCACCACGATTGCGTAGCGTGTTCTCGGCGCAATTATCATCACACAATGATGTAGTCACGAAATTATGCTGGTGATTGGGATCCGCCTCCCTCCTGTGACTGATGACTCGACCCGTGAACAGCCATCAAGTAGGAAAAGACGATCTAACCAACTCAATGAATGGATTGTGTGCAGCGCGACTATGCACGCATACACATAGTAGCGTGCGATGCGCGCACAACATGAGAGTTATCGGACGAATGACATGAAATAAGGAAGCACTATAGAATTCTCGCCAATTCTCGCCTCCGATGATAGCATTATATTGATCGACAATCGATCATCGATTATTTCGGCTCAAGTCTTTGAGTAGAAGCGATTGGGTAAGGATGATCTCGTGGCCCTGGCAGAGTCCCTTTTCCAGGTCACGGCAGAGTATTTTATAAGGATTGAAGAAACTTCTTCTAAAGGCGCAAAACTGAGCTCCGTGAGCTTCGTGCGGAATTAAAAAACTTGAATGTATCTCGCTACTCTAATACTTATTGTAAATACGACGGGAAAAATGTGTCCGAGTTCCATTGTGATACTCCGCGCTTGCACGGTCGGCGCACGCGTGCAGCGTTCATAATTCACGAAGTCCGCATGCGTGAACAGACCGCACGAAATGTAGATCTTTTAGAACAAGAAGAATCTAAAACTCCTAAGTGCATATTCAAGTCTTTAAAAAACTGGCCTGGATTTGGGGAAGACTTAGTCAAAACCCGCTTATCGAATACTCTGCCTGCCTCTACTTTCATTTTGTCCTCTTCACCCATACACTCATCCCGAAAGCGCATTCGCGGACTGCCGTTCATTTCAAGTATCACATTTGCCGCCAATTTTGTTTCCAACATAATATTGCCGACATTATACAGAGCGAGTTTTCTTTGTGTGGTACTTCGTATGTGTTTTTCTGGTTGATCGGCACTGTTACTTCACATATTGCAGGGTAGCATTTACTTTCCATTCTTTTCAGCTCCGCCGAGCATGTCTATCAAGACGTATGATCAGTGCGCTGAGCGTCTGCAGAGAGTCCCCATT